AAAAAATCCATGTCGAATTAAGCACAAGGTATACCAATGATTTAAGGCACCCCTTGTAGCCACATTATATTACCTTTCACCCTTCAATTATACATCTTTTCTTCATAAACCACTTTGAGCCTCGTCTAACGATAGACCTTTCTTTTTTTTTTCAACCTACATCTATCTAACCTTGGGATGGGATGGTGTGCAACTTATGCAATTTTTCAAAGAATAAAAAGCTTGAGTGACTTCAAAAGATTAAAATAGCAAAAAATAAGCAAAAGTAAAAAAATAAATAAAAGTGTACAAAAGGGTAAGTGTTCCAATGTCTTTGATATGAAAATATCTTTGATATGAACAGGTCTCAGATTACGTCTCTTATCGAGTGCTCGGTACCATGCCTGAGAAACATGAATGCCAAATGAGTGATAGACCGCATGATCGAGATTGCCCACACTTATAAAAATAAAATAAATGCTAAAGCATAAGCAAAAAAGAGTAAAAACTCAAGCATAAAAATACAAAGATTCAAAAGCGAGGTTGCACACCTTGGGGGCTTATCTAGGGTCTTGAGCCTTTATCCCCTTCTTATTCAAGCCTTTAGCCTAACCACGTTACAACCCTTAAAAAGACCTTTTTGAGGTATACACACTTGTGCAAGGTTCGGCTAGAGCTACGTTTGGCCTGATTCCTAACGGATACGTAGGCAACCTCACATCGAGGTGCGGCCGTAATAAAAATGCATTCATATTCACACACTTGCACCATGATCATATCAAGGGATATCCTATGCTCATCCCTATTCACTTAGAGCTAGACTTGGGGGCTTGATCCTTATATCATTAGCTGACCCAGCCTAAGAGTCACCACCATTTGACTCTTTTAACAAATAATATCTTTCCACACACTTAGCTCTTGCGGCCTAGCTTTAGTGTCACTTTCACACACTGCGCAGATACATGACCGAATATACTTCCCTTAGGAACCCTTTGTCATGAAATCTTAACATAACGCTGAAGCATGCCATGTCATATAAAAATCACTCATCAATCATAATTGTCATTGCATCACGAAGTATGAAGTGCTTAGCCTCCGTGCCTAAGTTACCTAAATACTTTCATTGAGTCAACAGTTGAGATAGCCTAGGATGGATTAATCCTTGCACCTTGAGAGATAGTATCAAACAACATTTGACTAAGCTCATTCAACATGCATCTTCAAACTTTCGATTCTTTTTCGCGTCTTTCTTTTTCGGGAGAAAGTCGGTACCCTCCACAAAAAATGACAGAAATTTTTTTCTTATTTGCATTTTTCGAGTCGCACAATCACTTTACAATGCACACACGGGTCATGAGTCACACATGTCTTTTCACTTCGAGTCGAGTCAACCTCGAGTCAGTCGATCACAGCGAGTCAAGTTTATGCCTTGAGTCGTGTCAAGTCAATGAGTCAAGCAATGTTAAACCTTAGGTCAACCCTAAGATGGTTAAAGAGATTGGCAAAGTTTTATAGTCAAAAATAAATACAGGTGCAGCAGAATAGGGAAGACCCTATCACAGCGTTCGGCGACAGAGTCAATTCTTGGCGCCAGAGATATCTCAGCAACGACAGAGCTCGAAGCCTCTTAGAAAGGTGATTTCGACCTCATACAGCAATTTCGGGCTCCTTGGTACGCCAGTTAGCCCCTATAAGCAATTTGACATGATTAAGTAGTCAGTTTGATTACAATCACAATAAGTGGTCGATCGGATGAAAGATCGTCTCACTTAGCTTAAAGCGCCTAAGAATAGGCTCATCACAGAAACACCGACATACTGGTTTTAGCGGAAGAAAAGTTTAGGCGAGCTTTAGAGATCGACAAACGTTGGTCTTCGGAAATTTTTATTCAGAATATTATCGCAACAAACGTTCAAGTACCGAAGCTCTTTTGTCCGGAGACGCGTGGACATTTATTTCAAGCTCTTTTGTTCAGAGACGCGTGAACATCTCCATCAAAGCTCTTTGCTCCAGAGACGCGTGGGCATATCATTCAAGCTCTATTGTTCAGAGACGCGTGAACATTTTCATCAAGCTCTTTTGCTCCAGAGACGCGTGGGCATATCATTTCAAAGCTCTTTTGTTCTGAGACGCGTGGACATTCCTTTCAAAAGCTCTTTTTCTCCAAAGACGCGTGGGCATATCACAGAAGCTCTATTGTTCAGAGACGCGTGGACAATCTTCATCAAGCTCTTTTGTTCAGAGACGCGTGAACATTTCCATCAAGCTCTTTTGCTCCAGAGACGCGTGGGCATATCCTTCAAAAGCTCTTTTGTTCAGAGACGCATGGACATATCATCAAAGATCTCCTATTTACAAGCTCTTTTGCTCAGAGACGCGTGGGCATCCTATTATCAAGCTCTTCGTTCAGAGACGCGTGGACACATCATTCAGAAGATCATATCCAAAAAAAAAAAAAGAAGCTCTTTGTTCAGAGGCGCGTGAACATATCAAAAAGAAGCACTTTGTTCAGAGACGAGTGAACATCGAAACAGCAAGGTGGCCTTCCCTAGATTGTGGAGAGTTGTCACAAACAACTGAGGATTTTTTCAAGAGAAGCAATCTTCGATAGTATTCCCTTGGACATGGAATATTATCAATGCGGAGGAGGATCGTTTCAGGCGGAGCAATCTTCTAATTTAGAAGCAGTTACAGGCGAAGCGGTTTTCAAGCGGGATAGCATTCTCTAGCTTGCAGGAGGTCATCAAAACAATCGGTTACTTTCAGAGACGTGTGCTCGACGGTGCAAGATACGCGTTTCTTAACTCTTTTATCTGTTTAACTAACGCTAGTTTGCAGGTATCGGCGTTACAAGGGTGGTTTAGGATCGCAGAACGTTCTAAATCATTTTCCGTCCCTATCGATACTTTGACTTTCGTTTTCGAAACTTGCGTTTCTCCAAACTCAGTCAAAGTGGGGGCTTCTGTAGACACCCAAATGTCTCTCCCCAAAACCAAACCCAGTGATGAGTACCTTTCACGTCGAATCATAATCGAATGAAGCAAAAGTGTGGAAAGTCTAGTGTTGCGGAAAGTTTTAATTTCTTTTCTCTTCTCTCTGTTTTTGAAAACATATTTTAAGAAAACAGCCAATCCAGTTTGGTTGATCCATGATATGGGTCCAATAACAGTGTAGTTGGATGGGGCTTGCAAAGACCTTTCCAACGATATATTATAAGCCTAATTCCGATGAATATTGAGGAAGTTATGGCCAATTTACTAAACTGGGCCCAATTTGAGCCTTATGTACGGCCCAATGATCTAGAGGAGGGCCTAATATGATTTATCATTCCTAATGCAATTAGCAATAGTTTTAGTCTTCTAGATTCTTCTAGAAGGTTCTTTTCATTCCTAATTCAATTAGCATTGATAAATTGATTTTTTGTTGCCTTTTCAGAGTTTTAATTAAAATCAAAAAGCATTTTCGAGGAAAATATACGATTTTTATCCTCCTGAACGGCAAAACTTATCTTATTTTCGAAAACGCGTCAAAAACAGGCCTGGCGCCTGACTCCAGGCATTGGCGCCTGGTGCTAGCCATTGGCGCCTGGCGCCAATTAGCTGGTGCTGCGCCAGCTCTGTTTTGTGTGCGCCAATCTCGTTTTGCGTGCGCCAAATGCTCTGTTTTGATATTTCATCTTTTTGGCTGATTTCTCTATAAATAACATATTAAAAACTCCGTTTTCATTCACCTACAATCAGTTTTCATTCGCAATCTTCAATTCTCTAATTCTCTCTTAATCATTCACCAACTCTCATCAAGATTTTCTTGATTATTCTCTCTCTCTCTCTCTTTCTAAACTAGCCTTTTCTCAAATACAAAATTCCGCATTCGCGAGATCTAGAAACACCTAGCCATATTCGAAGTTGCCTTCGCCCTAGACATGAAAGGTTTAATTTCTGAGGGTTTGGTCCCAAATCTCTCTTTCGATTATTTAATTTAATTGTTTGTTTTATTATTTTCCTTGAAGTTACTAACGTGTGTATTTTGTTATTATAAAGAGGTACGAAGCATCCAAGTAAGTGCTTTAATGGTTTTTATTAATATTATGATGTAGAAATCATGTTTATATTGTTATTATGATATTCCTAGTATCATGTCTAGGGTAATTTTAATATTAAATATGATTGTTGCGATGCTTCCTATGTTTTTCCTAATATTTATGATTGTTAGTATCATGTTAGGGCTAAAGATTTGATTTTTATTTCTTAGTGACATGCTAGGGTTTGTTATTAATCTTGTTAGTATCATGTCTAGGATCTTGTTATTTTTATTATGCTTTAACATGATTTATGATTATTTTTATAATTGTTTTGATTATGATTATAATTTTATAATTATTATTATGATTAACATGATTATTATGGTTAATATGATTGTTATTATGATGATTATTTCATTGTTATAATTTCGTGATCATGATTATATTTATACTTTGATTATTATGTTGCTTGATTTTTATTATTTATTGCTTGATCACACCTTTGATGCATGTTTAAGGGAATTTTGTACTTGTAATCACGCTTAATAAGATAATTAATAATCTTGTTAGGGTTAATGTGATTATATTTCAAGTGATCGCCAACAATACTTTATTTGTGCATTAAAATTCAACCAACATAGGTTAAACAGGTTTAGGGTTAATCCTATTTATTGTATGTTAATTAAAAACGCACATGAATACGATCAGAATAAAGTAGAGGCCTATTATTAGGGCAGGTTCAATCTCTTTTAGGTTGGATTTGTACCTTCATCCCCGAACCCTTATTTGGTTCTAGACCTTATGGAGTTGACGATCTCTTGGATCGTTAAGGGGTGTAACCTTCACCTCGTGAACGGTTTACAAGTTCCTAAAACTTGTTGGTGACTCTTTTGCTCTATCTTCTTCCCTTTTGGACGCCACCGTACTTTAGTTTATGATCACAGTAAGGTTCAAGCTAGTGGGGTTAAAGCTTGAAACTATTCCCTACAGTAGGCATTACATGTAGAAGCCTCAACTCGAGCTTTGTTTCCCACCTTTTTTTTAAGATGGTATAAAAACCTACAAAAACCATAACACATAGAAGCCTTGCATTCGTCAATACAATTAAAATTTGTCGGTGAGACAAGTTAAAAAAAAAAGGTTCGATAATTTACCTCTCAAAAGGATACATCCACTTATATTGAACAGGTCCTCCAACTTTTGCTTCGTATGGCAAATGGATAGGAAGATGCTTTATAGAGTTGAAGAAACTTGGAGGAAATATTTTCTCCAACTTACAAAGAATTTCAAGTATATTTTTTTCTAACTGAATCATATCTTCTATTTTTACAAAAGATGAACAAATATCCCTAAAAAATTGGCTCAACTTAGTGAGAGCATTCCACACATTAACAGGGAGCAAGTCCTTGAAAGCAATTGGAAGTAAACGTTGCATAAGGACATGACAGTCATGGCTTTTCATGCCAAAAAGTTTGTACTTTTTGGTGTCTATGCATCTACTCAGATTAGATGTATATCCATCCGGCAATTTCAACCCTTCCAACCATTCACAAAAAGCCTTTCTCTTCTCCTTAGACAGGACGTACGGAGCGGTTGGCATATTAGTCTCATCAATAGCATCATCATCAACTTCTAACTTTCTCCGTTTGCAAAATTTCTTCAAATCATTCCTAGCTTTCAAGTTATCCTTTGTCTTTTTCTTGTCATTCATCACAATATGAAACACATTATCAAACACATTTTTTTCAATGTGCATGACATCAAGATTGTGGCGAATTAAAAGTTTACTCCAATATGGGAGTTGCCAAAAAATACTTTGTTTATTCCAATTATGAGGAACTCCCAAGCCTTTAAGAAGGCTTAAGAATTGAGAATGTTCACATTCTCCTATTCTTGGAAGCTTTGAAACACGTTCCCATACTTCTTCACCACTTAATCTTGGTGGGACGGGAGAATACTCTGCTTTATTTTTACGGAAAGCACTTTTATTTCGCCGAAAAGGATGATCTTCTGGTAGGAATGGGCGATGGCAATCAAACCAGGTTTGCTTCTTTCCATTTGTGAGGGTAAAAGCCTTAGTGTGCTCCATGCAATATGGACACGCCAACTTTCCAACAGTACTCCAACCAGACAACATTCCATATGCCGGAAAGTCACTAATAGTCCAATGTAACATAGCCCTCATTTGAAAGTTTTTCTTTTTTGAGACATCGTAAGTTGAAACCCCTTCCTCCCATAGAAGCTTCAACTCATCGATAAGAGGTTGTAAGAAGATATCTAGATTCCCTTTCGGACTCTTTGGACCTGGAATGATCAAACTTAAGAATGTGAAAGCCTTTTTCATACATAACCATGGTGGTAAGTTATAAGGAGTTAACATAACCGGCCAACATGAATATTTCCTTCATGACTTTCCAAAAAGAGAAAACCCATCCGTGCAAAGCCCAAGTCGAACATTTCGTGGCTCCGCGAAAAAAGATGGAAAACACTTATCAAAGTGTTTCCATGCTTCACCGTCACAAGGATGAGACATGACACCTTCCACACGAGGATTTTCCGCATGCGATCTCATTTGCTCTATGTAGACTTTGTTGCATATAATCTTTGCAACCTCGGAGCAATGGGAAGGTAGAACAACACTTTTCTAGGACTTTTTTTGCTTTTTGATCTTGAAGTCTTGTAGCGGTTTACTTTACAAGTCAGACATTTTTCAAGATCACTATTCTCCTTCAAAAATAACATACACCCATTAGGACATACATCTATCTTATGGTGAGGTAGCTCTAGCCAAGCAATTAATTTTCGAGTTCTATAAAAGGTCTCAGTCATGTTATTAACTTCTGGACAAATATCCTTGATCAACGAAGCAACACAATCGATGGCTTTGTGCGGCATGTTGTACTCGCATTTCAAGTTAGTTATCCTTGCAGCAACGGATAACATAGACAATTTACAGCCATCATATAAAGGTTTCTCAACAGCTTTGAGCACGATAATGAACTTTTTGAACTCGGGAATTGGTTCTTCAACATCATATGATCCTTCTAATGAATACTCCAACTGGTAATTAGGTCCAAATGCATCTGTAACCATGCTCTTATATGGGTTTGATACTTCTTCGGTTGAAGCGTAACCACTATGTGGAATGTTAATGTCAAAATCATCTTCTCCGTGAAAAGTCCATGTGTGGTAATTAGGACGGAACCCATTTTGATAGAGATGGAATTTTACTTCATCGGGATTCATATAAGGAACATTACGACATTTTGCACATGGAAACTTCAATAGTCCATCAATCATGACATTGTCTTGCTTACAAGCAAATTCATTAAACTCGTCGACTTTTTTTACATAGGTAGAACTGAAAAATTTCCCATTAACCCTTTCATACATCCATTCACGATCTACTATTGTCCTCATCATCCTCCCTTCGATCACTATAATTGTTTTCTTAGCATTCTTAAATACAATTCTACGTTAATAATCACTATATATATACATATATTTATAAGAAAGAAAAAAAGCAATAATAAAAAAAACAAATAATGCATACATATTTTACAAATACGTACTATTTATCTTCATTTAATAGTTCTTAATTACTTAAAAAGAAATTTTTATAACATTTAACCCAAACAAACGTCAATTTACCCTTTACTTATTAAATTAGAAACGAAAATATATGTCTAATAGTGTTCTCATTATGAACAATTCACTAAATTTTTAATACTAGTGCTCACCCCATAAAATTAAATCATTTATAATTTCACTTTGATACTGTAGAGAACTCCAATAATGTTCATACTCTCATTTTGAAGAATTCACTAAATTTGTGGACTTAAGGATAACTATCAATCTATCATACATATTATTATCAAACTAAAGAAGAAATACTCATCAGTGCAAGTTTTCTCAAATGGGTGTAAATGGTAGCCATAAATCTAATCAACCCCACAAACTAATTCTATCCCAAAAACACACCAACACCCAAGAAAATTCACCGCCAAAACACAAACAAACAAAAATCCATTAAAACAAAAGAGAAAAGAAATTCACCTTAGCTTGTAAAAGAAAGAACAGTTTTATGACGTTTATCACTAGGTACTCTATTCTTTCAATTTAAATTTTCTAGATCCATTACAAAGACTTTATAATTCAAACATAAAAATTAAAAGGGGGAAATTAAGCTCAGTAAGAAATCAATAACAAAAAAAAATCAACAAAAATATATGTAACACTTGTAAAACAAGAATTACAGTTGTAATTTCTAATTCCCAATCATAGAAAACCCTAGAACAAATTTACATGTACACTTTAAACGAGCTTTAAACTTACCTTCAAGCAGAGATGTCTTCAACCACAAACCATAGCCGAGAACTTCACCGTCGTCGTCGTCGTCACTGACCACAAACCACAACAAAGATGGAAAATTTTGGAGTGAAGAGTTTTTGGGGTGAGTTTTTAGGTTTACAAAGAAAAGAAGGTGAGGCGAAAATTTTAAGGCAGGGTTATTAAAAAGTTCAGCGCCAATGTTTCTAAAAATTGTTGACTTTTCTTTTTAAGAAACCCAACTTTTGTAAATAAAAAAAGGAAATTTAATTTAAGCGACACATTGTATAAATCTGTCGCTGCTTTAGCGACGGAAAATTTGAATTCGTCGCTAGACTTTTCTTCGGATATTAATTTTCCATCGATGACTTGATTTAGCGAAGGATTTTTATTTTCTGTAGCTATATTAGAAACGGAAATAATTCTGTTGCTGAATTTCCGTAGCTAAAATGACTTATTTTTGTAGTGTTAGATGATTTAAAGTAAACTTACTTATAACAAAGTAAGGTTAGGTCACATAAATCATTTGCACATCTAAAGTAACAATTGGATGGACTCTTATTCTTATATGATTATGAATCACTTGAGAATTAGAAGTCATGCTTGATTAGGTAGAATGACCAAGTTGCCTTTTAGTTGATAGGGTAAAAGAGCTAATGACCTTTTGGAACACAAACATATGATGTGTGTGAACCAATAAGTTTAAGAATTAGCAAAGAGATTTAACTATTTCATTGCTTTTACTAATGATTTAAGTAACTATAGAGATAATTACTTAATGAGGTAAAGCTTAGAATCATTGGAATGTTCAAAATTCCAAAATGAAATGTAAAATCAGTTTGAGATAAATAATTAACATTACAATATGATTGTTGTGATAAATATTTAACTCAAAATCAACGATCGTCAAAAAGGGAATTGTTGAATTAGTTCACAATCCAGAAACATTACAATTAAAATGTATGGTTATGAAGAAGGAATCAACCTTTGCTTGTCATGGTTCGATCCTAGCTTAGCTTTAATGATTTACAAATATCGTTTTGAGAATATGCATTACAACAACAATTGCGAATATACTAAACAGGAAACTTAACCAAAGCGGTAGAAAAGATGTCATAAGAGTTATGACTTGGAAATGTACGAAAGTTATCTTTTCCAAACAGGATTAAAGGTTATGAAATCAATGTAAAGCGTTTAAAACGATGACCCTAAATCAACATAGTTCTTCATGGGTTATCCCATGGAAACTAAGAGGTATTATTCCAACAATCGCGTAGAAAACAAAGTGTTTGTTGCTCGCCATAATGTCTTTATAGAAAGAAATCTCTTCCTATTAAGCCAAGTGGGATTAAAATTAGATCTCGATGATATTTGAGACGAGAAACAAATGGATGTGGTTAACACTACATCAAAGACGAGGGCGTATGAAATCGGCAAATTTGATAAATCATATGTCGAAGCAAGCTAATTCAACTAGCGAGGCTTCTATCGTCCCACTTGAATGAAAGGCTTCAAAGAGTTGAAGAGAATAATTCTATCGTTGTTCATACCTATTGTAGGTCACTTGGGATCAAAACAAACAGTTTGTAGAAATTCTGAGAAAATGTGGATTTTAAAATTTTCCTATTGAAATCCATGCCCTACAAGCAAGCTTTCGATAAGTGCCGACTCAGGAAATGGCTTAAAGCCAAGAAATCCAGTATGGACTCCATGTCTGTAAAGATGTGCTAGTCCATGATAGTCTTACAAATAGGGTCAAACCTATTACAAGCATAAGCCTATTCAGATTCTTCTAGTGATTGCTGATTTCCATTACGAAGTTTAGCAATGGAGATCAAAATCACCTTCATGAAATGTTCTTGATGGAGGATACATATATGATACAACCTAAGAATTTTGAAATCCAAAAATTCCTAGAAAGTTTTTGCAAACTTCAGAAATTCATGTAATGGATTGAAGTAAGCATAAAGGAGTTGGAACATTCTTTTGATTAGGCAATAAAACAGTTTTATTTCCTCAAAGAACGATAAGGTATCTTGTAAAGACAAGAAGTTTAGTGGGAGCAATTGGTCTTCTTGGTCTTGTATGTAGCTGACATACAATTCATGTGAAATGACATATCAATGCCTGAATAAGTCAAGATGTGGTTAAAGATTTGTTTCTATATGATAAACTTAAGAGATGTTAAGTACATACTGGGAATCAAGATCCACAAAGTGAATCTTAAAGAATGATTGGAATGAATTGAGAAACTTATGCTGATAAGGTTCTTGACAAGTTCATGAAGCAAGACTCTAAGAGAGGATGTCTTCCCATGTTTCATGGTATTACGCTGTGTAAAACTCAGTTCCTTCAAAAGTTAGTAGAGTTGAGTTGTATGGTAGTGTACCTTATGCTTCTGCAAAAGGGTCCATTATATGTGCCATGATATGTACAAAGCAAGATTTTACATATGACTTGTGCATGTGTAGCAAGTTTCAAGTAAATTCAAAATAAGCATACTGAAAGTTTCCAAGAGCAAATCCTTGAGTACTTGAGAATGACTAAAGGAATGTTTCTAGTTTATGGTGTTAAAAGTGAACAAGTTGTCAAAAGGTTATGCGGATGCAAGTTTTCCAATTTGGCAGGATGACTTTAGATATTGATCTAAATACACTTTTGTGTTTGAATGGTGAAGGACAGTAAGTTTGAAGAGTTCAAAGCAGAATGTTGTTGCATACTCATTGTCAGAATATGTGTGTTTAGCTATAGTAAGAGTAGTTAAGGAGGAATTTTAGATCAAATTGTCCTGTGACTAAAAGGATACCTTTGTCAAAACAAAGGAGTCAGGATCACATCACAAATCCAAACAAATAGATATGAGATATCACCTCATTTATGAGATCAATGACAAGTCGGATTTCGTGATTTGCAAAGTTTTATTATGAGTGAGAAATCACTAAACCCCTTCCGTAGACTAAGATATGAGAGTCATATTAAAGTCTTTGATTGAAGAAAGTTATGTAATTTAAGTTGTATATGTTTTGAGAAAACATATTACATAAGAAATGCATTACTTGCAGAATTATGTTTAAACAGAAATTTCATTCCTCTTATTTAATTATGGTTTTGGAAATCAAATAAAATGTCCAAAATAATTATGAATTGATGGGCTCATCAGGTTGATGACCTGGTGAATGAAACCCCACAGGTGAACAAAATTCATATATTATTTAAGTTCCTAGTTCAAAATCATTAAAGTGGACATAAATGATTTCAATAAATGGACTAGCATGTAAGATTGATTGGATAGCGCAGTTTCATTAGTGATACTCGGTCAATCACTTGGATATGCATGAATGATGCATGATCGAACTAATGACCTACTTTGAAGTTCAAGTATTGAGCATCCAGATATATTAGTGGATTCCTTTAACATGAGTGGAACATTGATTTCCTTTAATGGATGATATGACTGTGGTACACTCAAACGTCTACCTGTAAATGGATAAAGGGTATTTCCTGGTTATTTCAAAAGTTGAGTGGGAGCCTTGTTGCCACAATATTGGATTGAGCCTACCTATTAAATTAGGAAATGTGTTATGGCCTCTTGAAAAGGGAGAATTCAGAAAATATGTGGCCGTGTTCAAATGCATTACTCGGTAATCATTTGGTTTTGTAATTCTAACTCAGATTTCAAGAAACGGTTTGTAAATTAATATGATCTCGATATGTGATGCAATCATATTATCAAATTGACAAATATTAACTTAAGGAATTTGAATATTGCACACTTGTCTCAGACAAGTGGGAGATCGAAGGAATATGTCTTCGTCGTGTGTAATTACTAGATATATTAATGGATTAAATTATGGAGATAATTAAGTTCGGACATTTAGGTTGTCGTTTTATCATAGCTAGAGGTACCAACAATTTTTGGGCTAGTAAAATAGCCCAAAGCCCAATTGGACGGATCCTATAAGGTCACACAAAGGGTCTAGATAGGGCATGAGAGGACTAGGCCCAAGATGGGCCTCATCCCCTAGTATAGTCGGCCACATGGAACGGATTGAAGGGTTTTAGGCTTCTTAACCCTAGTCTAATTATTATAA